CTCTTCTGCTGCTTTGCAGGCGAAGACGAAAAGTTTGCGGCTTCCCTCATGGATGGAAAATTTCCCCCGGAGTACATCCGATGCCAAGACACTGTCCCGAGACGGGGGCCACTCGGCCACTCCCACCCCCCCCCGCCAGACCCGCTCCTCCCCCTCCCCCCTCCCCCTACACCTTTGACACCGGCCCACCGCCCTCCTTCTCCCCGCCCCGCCCCCGGGAAGAGTCTACGACACCGTCCGGTCCAGCTTCAAGCCGGGCCTGGAGGCCAAGCTGCATGGGCTGTCCCCGGGGGTCAGCGCGGCCGAGATGTACGACCAGGCGAGGGCTTCCGTCCCCTACCCCGAACGGCAGAAGCGTGCCCGCTCCATGATCATCCTGCAGGACTCCTCCCACGTCCCTGTGGAGCCCACCGACATCCCCCGGCCAGGCCCCTCCGCCACCCCGCCCGAGAAGCTGAAGAGGAAGGGCCGGGGGGCAGACAACCCTTACGCCAACATGGGCCAGTTCAATGTCAGCCTCTTTGCCCCCACCAAGCCTCAGAGGAAGAAGAGCCCCCTGGTGAAGCAGCTGCAGGTGGAAGACGCGCAGGAGCGGGCGGCGCTCTCCATCGCGGGGGGCTTCCCCCGGGAGCCTTCCCCCACCCGCCGCGGCCACCGCCTGAGCGGAATGGAGTTCCCGTCCCCGCAGGTGGACGCCGCCAGCCTCCCCTTCTCCACTGCCGTCGCGGGGGCCATGAAGGACCGAGACCGCCGCCTCGATGAGAAGCGGAAATCCACTGTCTTCCTTTCAGTGGGGGCCATAGAAGGGAGCCCCCCCACCATAGACATGCCATCGCTGCAGCAATCCCGGTCCATCGACGAGCGCCTGCTGGGGAGCCGGGACGTTCTCCTGCCTTCCCCCGTCTCAGCTTTAAAGCCATTCCTCAGCGGTTCCTCTTCAACGTTCATCCACCCACTTACAGGGAAACCCCTGGACCCCAACTCACCCCTGGCGCTGGCGCTGGCTGCGAGAGAACGAGCCCTTTCCACCCAGGTCTCCTCCAGAGTGCCCACCCCCATCCACAGCCCAGACTCGGACCGGGTGGCGCCCTTGTTTGTGGACATCCAAACCAAAGACCAAGAGAGGGGGGAGCTCGAGGGCCGGGGGTCTCCTGCATATTCACCTGGAGCCAAGGCTGCCACTCCCAGCCCGCTGACCCCGACACAGAGCCCCTGGGGGATGCCCGCAAGTGCAAGGAAAGAGGGCGAGGCACAACCTGAGATGCCTGTGAAAGAGGAGAAGAAGGCAGAGGACAAGAAGTCCATGATCCTCAGCATCGTGGACACGTCGCAGCAGAAGACGGCCGGCCTCATCATGGTGCACGCAACGAGCAACGGCCAAGACCTCGGCTTTGATGTGAAGGAGGAGAAGACTCCTGTCCCTGAGGGAGGCCCAGAGCCGGTGGAAGTGTCCATGGCGGAGGCTCAGCCTAGCCCTGTGGGGAAGGCTCCCGTCAGCCCAGCGTTGGACAAGACTCTCGGACAAGGGAGTTCGGAGGAGGAAGTAGAGACGTATACGGTTACTCTGCCGCCCGCTCAACTGTCCTCGAGTGATGAGGAGACCAGGGAGGAGCTGGCTAAGATTGGCCTGGTGCCTCCCCCTGACGAGTTTGCAAATGGGGTATTGGTCACCACCGCCGGCACACCTATCAGCCAACTGGCTACTCCAGCCATTGCCACGCCATCTGTACCAGCGGCAGCAGTCATACCTTCTACCACTGGTGGAACACCCTCAGGGAAGCCCTCTGATGCCCCCACCGCCCCAGAGTCTGCTGCAGACTCAGGAGTGGAAGAGGTGGACACCAGAAGTTCAAGTGACCATCACCTGGAGACCACAAGCACCATCTCCACCGTCTCCAGCATGTCCACGCTGTCCTCCGAGAGCGGAGAGCCCACCGACACCTACACTTCCTTTGCGGATGGACACACTTTTGTACTCGAGAAGCCGCCAGTGCCTCCAAAGCCGAAACTCAAGTCCCAGACCAGCAAGGGGCCGGTTACTTTCAGGGACCCACTTTTGAAGCAGTCCTCGGACAGCGAGCTCATCTCCCAGCAACACGCGGCCATTCTGGCTTCCGCCAGCGTTGGCCGGCCACGCTACCTCTTTCAGCGAAGGTCCAAGCTGTGGGGGGACCCCCTGGACAGCAGGCCCATCCACGGGGCCGAGGATGACAAACCAACTGTGATCAGCGAGCTGAGTTCCCGGCTGCAGCAGCTGAACAAGGACACACGCTCCCTGGGGGAGGAACCTGCCGGTGGCGTGTTAGACCCTGGAAAGAAGCCTCCCGTGGTGGCAGCACGGTAAGACCCCAGGCAGCCGGGCAAGGAGGTGGCTGGCGAGCGGCCTCCTGCCCTGGTCACAAGGGCCTTCCGCCAGCGGCAGAAGCGCCTTTCTCAGCCTCTCCCCTCCTTGGCCAGGCAGGCTGTGGCCCTGCGGGGGAAGCATGCCCGACGAAGCTTTAAGGCTCGTCACCATCAGGGTTCTGGGGGAGGCTCGGAAAGGACGCTCAGCACCCGCCTGCTCCGACTTCTCCCTTTCTTCTTGGTCCTGCTCGCTCTAGAGGGGTCCCTGCCAGCCCTTCGGTTCCATCTTTGTGCCCCAGGACCCACGGACACACACACCGAGCAGAGGCTTCATCATCCCCCCCCCCGCACACACACACACACACACACACACACCCTGAGAAGGGCTTCTGCTGCGTACACATTTCTCCCATAACATCCCATTGAAATTGAGCCACTGCAGAGCATGGTCCCTGGCAGAAGAGGGAGGGAGACATGAGGCTGAGCTGCCAGATGTTAAAACGGGCTTCACCTTCTGCTGGAGAGGAAACACCAAACACTGCGCTGGCCACAAGCACCTTCACATTCTGCACTGCAGTTGTGGGTGGCCGGTGCCTCCTGTTGTGGCTGCGCTGCCCTGCCCTGCCTCAGAGGCATAAAACGTGCTCTTGCTTTCCTAGACGTTTCTTGTCCGTGTGCATTTCTGAGTTTAGGAAGGCAGGCAGGCAGGAAGGAAGGGTCTGCCCTGAAGGGAAAATTCCCCACGACCCAGTTGACAGGTGGAGACCACGCAATCTGCTTGAGCCAAGTTTACTGGAACAGCGCTGGGGACAGAATATAAGGTTCTGCCCACTTAAGGAGGGTACAGACAATCTTTATGTAGTGGTCTTATAGGTAAACTGACTATTAAGGATGTCAGATGTCAATCTTATTTTTGATAACATGGCTTAGATTTTCTGCTTACAGTGAGAATACACAGTAACGTGGAGATGGGCACGAGCCAGCTTTTGTGGTCAGTTACTTCCTGGAGCCCATCTAAAAGTACAAGTGCTGATTAAGACAACTCACGAGCCAGGTGCCTAAGCAAGCTGTTAGGGAGGCCTCCTTGAGTCCAGGGCCCCTGGTCCTTTGAAGTCTTGGTTTGGCAGTATTTGCTTCAGCTCCTGCCTGGCTGCACCTACCGTGTAGGTGCTCTGTGTGTGTGGGGGGGGTCAGGATTCCCTAGATGAGGAGGGAGGGACCTGAGCAGAGGCACACGCCCAAGTGGAAGGGAGGGACTGGGGTTGAACTGTCCACCCCAGGACATAAACCGCTGGAGAGGAAAAGTGCGTCATGCAAGGAAGCAGTAGAAAGATGAGGTTTGGGTTCCACCGTCAGGGCACTGCCTTGCTTCGAGACGTGGAAATCTTTCAAGCTGCTTTCTCTGGATTTTGCAGAGGCTCTTGAGATGCCATTTTGCCTCCTAGTCGGGATCCACTTGAAGCGGGGCAGGAGAAGACAGGCCATCTGGGTCCTCCAGCCTTTCTTCCTCTTCGCTCAGTGAAAAAACAAGGAAAATTGGCGTGCTGCACATAATTAGACTTAACACATCTACATCTCTTCCCTCAAAGCTACCCCCAAATCCTTAAAAATCTCTGCCCTGTCTCCTCCCATGACATCACTGTGCCAGGCCCTGTGGTCGCCAGAAACGTGCGTATGCATGTTGTAGATGTATATAATTTTATAGCATGCGTCCCCTCCTGCAAAAATGGTTGCCTGCCTCTGCCGTACAACCTCTCACTTGAGGAGGAGTGACCAGAATTAAGTCTAGACAGTCAAATATGTGTGTGTGTGTGTGTGTGTGTGTGTGTATACATACGCGCACACATCCTGCCATTATAACAGTTGCAGTTACCACAAGATCTCTTCTGTGAGTAACCATAGAATCCAACAGGTCACATGCACAAATAGGATTGTACTTTATTTTTTCCTCCAGTCTGCATCATGTTGGACTGATCTTGAATTTTATTTGCCAATACCCAGCTTTCCATTTTGCCTTGTTCAAAATCTCAGCGGAGTTTTTCCTATTCTGAACAACTTGGATCACAACTGCAAACATAGTTGTCCCAGCAGATCCATCTTCCCCTCTCCTTCTTCTGCCAAGTACACAAACAAGGAGATCAGCAGAGACTCCGGGACAGATCCTTAAGTTACCAGCATGCTACCTCTGTCGTACTTCAGGAAACATAATCCATTTTACTGTGAACACATGCCAACATTTGTTCTCTGAGAGGCCATTTCTAGCTTGAAGCCAGAGCCCTCTGGCACCTTGGGGATTTGGGATCCCAAGTCCCCAGCCGGGTGCAGCCCTGACAATCCCCTCTGCTGGTTCTCCCAGAGCTGAGCTCAGGATCCAGGTGGCGGTGAGAGCAAGGGAGAAGATGCGGTCTCGGATTCCCCTCCTGGGGGTCGGAACAGGTCTCTGACCTCGGAAGAGAAAATCACAATATCTGGTACTCCTGGCATTGTCTCCTTGGATCAAAAGGCTTCGCCACCTTAACTCAACCTTGGAAAGTTCTAGAAGGAGACGGGTGACCTGTCGGTGGACCCTCTCCTTCTTTTTCCAGCTCTGAAAGGGCTGCCCTGCTTTTGGGGAACAGCCTTTCCTTTGAGACCCATGTTGCACTACATAGTGGCTTCTGTCTCCTGAGGTGCGCGCTTGGAAGGCAGCCCTGCTCTGCTCCGGGGATGACCCGACCCAGCCCAGCCCAGGGTTTCACCTGAGTCCAAGTCCACCTTCTTTTCCTCAGCTGGTCCAGAAGTCAGTCTCTAGTTGGAGGGGTGGAGAGGGAGGACTGAAAAGAAGGATTTTATTGACTTAGTTTGTGTTTGGAAAACCCACAATTGTTTTGTATTCCTACAGATCTGAAAAAGAGGTTGAAGAGAAATAAGCCTTTTAAGCCTTTAGCTTCTAGGGTAAACCTTCCTCTTTCTATATATACTTGCTAAATAATTCTCAGTCAAAATTGTAATATTCTGGTATGAGCTTCCAACTATGGCAATTAACACCTTCGCATTTCCTTGTAGGCTTTGTTGCCACGGTCTTACACACCAAGAGGCTGGCAGGCCTGATCCCAAATGTGGGCAAATTGGGGGCAAATACAGCTCATAAAGGAGCATCTTCGGTACCTCTCGGATGCCACGTAGTGGGAGTCTGGAGCGTTGCAGCCCAGATCCGCAGAACTGAAGGAGGTTCTTCTGGGATCGTGAAACTGTTTTTTGCCACGGGAGTCAGAGAGAGACCTGGCAGCACTAATTGTTTCACTCTGACTCTTTGGCTGCATTAGAATTTTATTGGTGTAGCTTGCTGACAGCACATTCACCATGTATGTTGAGTCATTTGGTAGCGGGCCGCATTCTTTATCATTGTGAGAAATGTGCTGAAGTATCCGTAGACCTGATTTCCATTCCAGACAAATAATTTCTGTGCAAGATCACTATACAACCACTAATGGTAACCCCCCGCCCCCGCCCCCCCCCAAAAAACTCTCTAGAAATCTCTAAGAATTAAACAAAGGGATCAAGATCAGTGGAAACACACTTTTCTTGCATGGGACAGGCCCCAGGTTCGTAGAGTTGGAAGGGAACTTAGAGGTCACCTGGTCCAACCCCCTGCCAACACAGAATCCACTAGAACATCTCTGATAGACGGCTAGGTGGACTCCAGTGAAGGCCTGGAGGCCTTCCTTGGGATAAGGCAGCTTCTTATTTCCAAATGAAGATCTAATTGACGTCCACTGTAATTGGAGTTTAAGCAGGGGCATTTCCAGGCCCATTATGAAAACTGCATCTCCCATCTGTGTGCTCAAGTGGGAACCCTTTTCAGTCCAGAAATACTGTTTGGGGTTGTCCCCAGCATCCCATTGTGCCATACCGTCTTCTCCAGCCCAGTGCCCTCCATGGGTTGGGACTCACCAAATTCCCTGAGAATTCTCCATATTCCTGGCAGGTGGGTCTAGAGAAGAGTGGAACTCCGTAGCTCATAGAGGAAGCGGCTCGCAGTATTGAATGATGAGACAAGGACCCTCTCTTTTCGAGTGTTGCCCCTCTCCATCCTTGACATGGAGTTTATCTATCAATGATTTTTGTACCCCAGGCGCCTCTGGCAGTGCCAGTGAAACACACCTCCTTGACCTTCTTCATTATGTACAAGACCAATACCCAAACTTTTATGGCCCCCCTGCATGGGATAATTCATATTCTCAAAGAAAACTGGTATGCACTGCCTACAAGGATACAGGGGTAACAGGGCCGTTACGGGTAACGAGTCATGGCATGCGTTTATAATCTATCAATCCCTGGCAGGCTCACTTCATCCATCTGCTAACCCCTTACTAATCCTGGCTTGCTTGCCCCATTGGGGAGATTCACCATGGGGCCTGGTCCTTGGCTCCTGCATGTTCCTGGAGGGCAGTGGAGCAGGCAGGAGAGATGGCTTTCATACATACTGTGCCCCTGAGAGATGGTTTCAGATTTTGAAGGAGAAGTCAGAAGCATTTTCTCTTCTGTGCCAGTCCAGCACTGGAAGTGACAAGTAAGGAAAGATAAGGGGTTTTTTTGTTTTCAGAAAAGTGCTACTTGAGTTTACAGTAACATAAAGCAATTTGCTTATACAACTTTGGCCCTGAGCCTGGCTTTCCGTAAAATCTCTTTGAAATAATTCCAGCACAAGGTTCAGAGATCTGGCAGCGGAACTTTGAAGTCATCTCATGAAGGGATCTGCATACAGGTGGTCCTCACTTAAAGACCACTCGTTCAGCAACCGTTCAAACTTGCAAACAAGTAAAGTCAAGGGGGAAGCCAGCAGGAGGTCACAAATGGTGACCACGTGACATCCTCGCTTAACGACCTGCGGTGATTCACTTAACGATGGCAACCAGGACTGCCAGAATTGCTGTCGCTAAGCAGCGTGGTCATGTGACTTCACACTTTATAACCGCATCACTTAGCGACAGCAAGTCCAGTCCAAATTGCTGTTCTTAACCAAGGACTACCTGTATAATATTACATGATGAACATACTTCATTCATGTAACTTCTGAGGCACAGCTATGAGCAGAATCCTTATCGCCTTGCAGAATAAAGTTTTCTCCTCTACACAAGGCGATTGCAAGCATGGCATTCGTGGCCTGAATCACTGGGAAACCTGATTTCCATTGCCATTGTCCCCAGCACAATGGTCATCCTGAAACCACATATTTCTAGATTATAGATTGCCTGGGAAGAAGTTGTTTTTCTACCCCCCAAGGCCCCTTACCGTGCTAGAGAATAAAGCCAAGCGCTATAGAGGAGCATCTGTAGACGCTGTGTTGCGGATGGGAGTCTGCGCTTGTTGAAGGTGGCGCTTGATAGATTAAGGCTGAAGGTCATGGCTTTTATTTTCCTACCGCTCTTCCTCCCCTGCAGTGGGGCAGGATTCACCTGGCCCTTCTCCCTGTGCGCTGGGTCGGGAAGAAGGTAGCCAAGAGCAGCCGCAAGAGGTGACTTCTCTTCCTCTGGGTCCAGAGATGGATGCCATAGTAGGCGGGCAGTGGGCGTGTCAGGAAACTTCCTTGCTATCGGGAGAAAGCGCTGTGTGGTCCTGGAGGCGTGATGTGGCCAGGGGCTGGGAGTTTTTCTTTTCCCTCCTCCGGGACCAGGTATTGCGGGCTCAGGGCTGGAGCAGGTGTGCTGGTGGTCCAGGTCACCCGCCTCTTGGCTTTCCCCGCTGGCCATGACATAGCCCGGGGTCCATGCTGCGCTCAGAGGGATTGGCTGAACGGCACCTTGAGTGGAGGGGTTTCTTGTGGGCTCCGTCCGGGGCCATCTGTGGATTAGTTGAGGGGACAAGTGAATTTCTGGGCCTAGTTCTCTGCTTAGAAGGCTTGCCGAGTGGGCAGGCAGTGGCAGGGCAGGAGATCTAGGGCCTTGGAAGTGGGGCAGTTCAATGGGCTGGCCTGGGGGCTTTGGAGAAGAGGGGAGGGTTTCTCTCAGGAAGGGCTTGGAAGGGCGTCCCAGAAGAAGATAGTCCTGCGGGGAACTTGGGCAGGCAGCGAAGACGCCTTGGCACAGTCTCCCCTTGTTCTGCTCTGGTTTTTCCTATTGGCATTTCTCATCACCTGCTGCCCTCCAGACATGCTTGTTTATTTACTTGTTGACTTATTTCCAGCATTTCTATATCACCTCAATACGTAACTCCAGCAGATCGCTATCAGATTATGTACAGCGTTCTGTAGTTCCCAAAGCATATAAAAGCTCTTTGGGCTCATCGCAGCTAGAGAATATCAGGTTGAGGAAAGGTGCCTTCCAAAACCCCGCATGGTGGCCTCAAAGGTGCAGTGGGCTCTTCCTATCCAAATTGTGTCTTTTTGCACAGGAGGACAGGTCTGGTCTCCTGATGGACTTCACTTCTGCTCCTTGTAGTTTAAAGGTGATGCACCCCAAAATGCACTGGAGTTTCACGAACAGGAGAGGCTGATGAAGAAGATTTCTGTTACTGCCCAGCACGGACTTCCAGTGGCCTTTAAGAGTGCTGCATCCTAGGTCTATAACAGGACCAGGTTCTGTTTGTTTTCTCAGAAGTAAATGCTACCATGGTCAGTGAGGGTCATTCCTAGTCAGTGTGAACAGATTTGCTATCTCACCAAAAGCAGAACAGGGTGTCCATTTCACCGTGGACTTCCTTTTTTCTGAGTGGGCTGTTTGGAGGAAGAATTTTAGATCCGTTTATTTGTCTCCTGCAGAATGCCCACCAGCCGAGGGGAGACGTGCAGCTCTAGGGCAGATGAGGGACAGGTGTGGGGCCCACTGGCAAAGGTGCAGTGGACAGCTCTCAGTGAGTCAGAGGGGATCCATTCAGAGGCGTTGAAAGGCCCTTCCGTTTTCTGCAGAGAGGCCACCTGCCGATGCTCTCTCTCACGGGCACACGTTCTCCACGCAGGCTCTCTGGCTCCAGCCACCAACTTTGCAAAGCGGGATGAGCCATCTTGTCCAGTTTGCACATTCTGGGGCACTCAGCAGGAGCCACAATGAACTAGGGTACCCTGCTCTCCTTTGGGCCTGCTCCCCACAAAGCCCATTCCCCTCCCTCCCTCCCTCTGCTCCCCCGCCCAGCCCCTCACCTCTAGCCACCCTCCCTTCCTTCCTTCTGCCTGAAGCGCCACGGCTGCTTTGTCTCAGGCTTTGGCTGACAAACCTGTGTGGTTATGAGCGCCCAGCTCCTTGGGCAGACCTGGAATGTGACTCAGGATATTGAACTGACCGTGACTTTGGTGCCAATGGCCTGGAACCCTTGACCATCTTTGGCTCAGGGCAGGCTGCTACACTGGGCTTCCGCTTGTACCCCTGGCCAGAGGGGGCTGGACAACCCCCTCAAGCAGGTGGACGATGCGCTCTCGGTGCAGCAGCCCTCCCTCCTGGCCAGCAGAAAGGGAGGGTGGTCTTCCAGCCCTGCTGGGCCGGAAGGCAGCCCCTCTGCTGCTGCGGCCACGCCCAGCACCTCCAGCGCCCCCTTCCCCCTCCTCTTGCCAAGCCTGTGCCCGGCCAGCAGGACATGCTTCTGGGCTGCAGGACTCCAGACCAGCTTGTGACAAAGTCTGTTCATTCTTCTCAGTGTTGTTCCCGGCGCCTTGGACTGATGCTAACATCTTTCTCATTGCCTCTCTTCCTGCTCTCCCATCTGCATGTCTCCGCTGCTCTGTCTAGCACCGCCTCAGGCCTCAGGAGGGTGGGCGAGCTGTGTAAGTGAGCATGTTCTCATCTCATAGCAACCCCATGTTGGTCTTCTGTCCGTTCCCCTGTCCCGACCCTCTTCCTGCTGCCGCTTGTGTGTGTGCCGTGGGCCGGCTGGCTGGGGACTGCAGGGAGGGGGAGGGCAGCGCTTGCAGTGCAGTGTGCCTGTGCCCCTCCCCAGCCCACCCTGCCCAGCATGTCTGTATCCGTCTTGTGATGCTCTGTGCCCCGGAATTCCAGGAGGAGGTGCCCGTCTGCATCCTGAGTGACACCAAGTGGGCCCTGGGACGGGTGAGGCCAGAGCCCCTTGGAAGGTATCCCTGCAAAACTTTGCTTCCTGGAAAAACAAGAAGCAACAGGGTGGGTCACCCTGCCTCCAGGTCCCACCTGTAGGAACAGGCCCATCCTCCAGCATAAAGACGGGCCCAGACAGGAAAGCACCCTGCAGCTGGAAACAGGATACTGCCTTGCCTCCGGAAGCCAAAGTCCAAAGCCTTTTCCTTTTCCTTTTCTTTTTTTCCTTTTTCCTTTTTTTTTGAATGGGCGGGAACTCTAAAGGCGTCTTGTGGCCTGAGGGTCCTGCTGCTCCATGCAACGCCCAGCACTTGTCTCTCGCCATGGAACAGCCCCAGGACCCATGATCCCAGGCGGGCTCTTTCCCCTCAAGGTCATAATTAGGAGCAGGTGATCCCCCTGCCTCAGATTCTGACGCCCTTTTTGGGTACTAATCTTGTTCATCCAGAATCTTCCGGCAATTGGGCAAGAGTAGGGCCACCAGGAAGCCAGTGAGCTTGTCTTCCTAAGGTATCCTCTACAAGTCCAGCTGAGGTTGGGCCTGGTGGGTCTTGCTGCATATTATCAGTAAGGTAGACTGATAATAATGCCAGGCTCAGTAATGCCAGGCTGGCTGATTTCGGTTTCCACCCCGGTACAGTTAGGCATATGCATCAAAGTTCTGCCCTCCGGGAGGCTCCCAGCTCAGCCTACGTGCCACCACCCATGGGGCTGGCTAAGCCGCTCCGACATGAACCACCCAGATTTCCTTTCGTTTTTAAACCTCGTTCATCCATTGTGAACATGAGCGTTGTCCTATGTCAGCTCCATCTACTCATGTGTGATCTTGGAACAATGTTTTGTCTCTGCCCTCCTGCTCCACCCAGTGACTCCAGTGGAGCGAACTTGAGCTTCAACTGTGTCTTCTCATGCGCTGCTTCCTCCATCTTGCATTTCCAAACAGCCTAGCTGAGAAGAAGTTCTGACCTTGAGGAAACAAAGCCAGTGAGATGCTCATTACACCGCCACAGCCGGGTATTGCTTAGCTTTAGGCTGCCGAGTGCAAACTTTACACGAGCGTGAAGGTGAGATAGCATGGCCATAATCAGGCAGGTTGGACGTTTTCCTACGGAGCAGGCATTAGAGTTATTGGCAGTCGTAATATGCGGTCCATCCCATCTTTGTGGAACATGCACTGTGGACGAGAGCCACCCTTTAACTGTGTCCTGTATATGTATTCTCTGGAGCTGAGCTCCTTCTCCTAAACTACTGCATTGCCCACCTGGTGTCCACGCGTGATACTGCACTCAGCCACGGAAGCGATCGTCATCTTTCCCTCCTCTTCTTCTTGCTGAAGTACCTAGTCACTGGGAAGAAATGCAGTGCAAGACTCAGGAGAATCCATTTCTGTTACCCATTCAGAGATAAATCTTGCTCCTGCAGCACAGCGTCTCTTTCTGTTGCAAGGAAATGTTGCAACTGAAAATGTTTAAAGCACAACCACGTTAAAGGTTCTCATGGATTTTTGTCTGTGTGGGAACGTAAAGCAAAGGATTACTCTTTAACATTTTCAATTTAATAGAGAAAGTGCCTGACTTTGCCCAGATTGTGCTCTTTTGTGAAATTTTCTCTAGAAAAAGCCAAATGGGAGGACTTCGGTAAAAGAACAGTGGTTTGAGAATTACACTTTCCATTCAGTGCTCATCTGTTTTGGACACAGGCAGGTGATACTTCCTACCTTTTCAAAAAAAAGAACGTTATTAAATTTCAACCAAGAATAAAGTATAAGGAAACAGAAAAAAGGATTGAAAAAGAGAAAAGATCAGGAAAAGAACGAAATTTAAAGTGCAGAAAAGAAAAAGTAAAAAAAAAAATAACTTCCAACTTTCTTTGGTACAGGTATAAATATATAATACATTCACTTCTTACTCTAATGTTTAAACTGATATAAAGTATTTCTATAACCATAAAGATTATCAATCATCAAAACCCAAAATTAAAGAAAGATTGAAAGAAAACATGGGACTTTATTTCTTTATATGATAACAGCAGCAAGACTCTTAGACGCACAAAAAAGGAAGGACCCACAAACATCTGCGACTGAAGAATGACAGCGAAGTTAATGGAGGTGGCGAAACTGACCGCTTGGGTTAAAGAAAAGACTTTGGCTGGCTTTGTTTCTACTTGGAAACACTTTTGGACTTCTTGCTTGAAACTGAAAGAAGGAAGGTGGTATTTCAAAAAGCCCTTTAGGATTCTGCATTCAACTCAAGAAGATATTCCTGAATTCTCCAGTCTGTCCTATGCTGAAAGCCTTTCTCATCTTTTCACTGTCTGACCATCAACAGACAACAGAGAGAACCCTTTTCGAAACAGGCCGCCAATGGCAAGCTATTCCATTTATGGCCAAGAGCTGTCTTATTCGGCACCTTCCAGATCGCTATGAGTTTGCTGCATTACAAACCCATCAGGAAGATTATGATCCTGGGGAGGAATCATGCCAAGCCCCACCTTCGCTGCCAAGGCCAACCCAAGAGTTATTTGGGGGTGAGCAGATACGAAGAAGCCATTATGAGTCCAAAGTATTCTATAACCGAACTTCTCTTCGCCCTTCTTGATTGCTGTTACCTTACCTAAGGTTGATGAGCCAGAACTCAGAGAGACTTTGCAATGATTACCACGGGTCCTCCTTCAACCAAGTCCCTGGCTCTTGGAAACAGCCTTGTGGCCAAGTGGGGCAAGTGCGCCTCTGCCTGGCCAACCAAGGGTGGATCGGGCACTGATTCTGCAGAGCAGTCTCCAAAACGTGGCCGGTCTTAAGCCCACCCTTGTCCTGGCTCCCAAGCAGAGATTCAGGAATGGTTTTGTAAGGGATAGACCCAGCCCAGCTGCAAGCCACACACAGCGGTCCATCCCGCATCTGCCGGCTAGCCAAATTCTGGGCCACCTTCCTGGGCCACCTTCCTGCTCTTCTGCGGGACAGGGACCTTCCTTGCCTGTGCAAGCAGTAAGGCCTGTCTTGACAATGTACATCAAAGGACTGCTGCACGGTGAAGCCGTTCTTTGCTCAATCACGGACCTGGATCGCTCTCCGTTGCGCAGCGAGAGAAAGCCAGCCAGTGCATCACTTCCTTGGGCGCTGGCCAGAGCAGCAAGCTCTTGGCGGGCCCTGAAATGTCTGCTGCAAGCCGAGGATCCTGTCCTGTTGAACGGTATCTGGCCCAGCTTCCTGAGGACCCTCCTCTCAAGAGAGCCATCGCTTCCTTTCCTGGCTTTCCCTGCATGTTGTAGAAAGAGATGTATTTTTTTACATGCCTTACCAGGCAGATGCGCACGTGTTGTGATGCAAAGCCTGTGAAGCAGAGGCAGATCCCAGTTAATCACTTGTGAGGAAGCACAATTGCCAGTTGTCTGCTATTGATGAAAGTGGACTAGTTCATTTCAAGGTTATGCGAAAAGTTGTAGAGGCTGAAGATTTCCCTGCACGACGCTCTGTCTTCTTGCTTGTGGACAAAGCTGGGCCACCCCCAGCTTCTGCTTGCAGCAGGGAAGGAATTCGGCAGAAGCCCCGGGCAGCTTCTCAGTGCCTTCCTGCATCATCCCAAACCAGTGGGCCCTTCTGCATTGTTGAACCTGCCGAGCCAGACAAGAGGCAGCGAGCAAGCTGGCAGCCAGAAAACCCCTGGCCAGCCGATGGGGTCACATGGTGTCAAACCAGATGCTCTGGAGAGGCTCCCACTCTGGAAGGCCACAATTGTCCTCTTCTCCCAGCAGCTGCCAGGAAGCTTGAGGCAGGCAAAACTAGGAAATCGAAGTCATGCAGACCAATGCTACTGTTATTATAAAGTTATAGTTACAGAATTTTGCAAGTCTGAATGTGCTTTCCCCCCTCTCCCTTTATCTTCATGAGAACGAGGGAGGGTCTTGTCCAAGATGTTTTCTCAGGTTACAGTTCTGGGCCAGGCTCCGGTTTCTTTTCTCTGACCATGGTCCTGGTAGCGGCTCGTCCTCTTGTCCCTCAAGGCCCTACATCAAGAGCGCATTTTGAAGACTAGTGGCCGCGAAGGCCTCTCCTCTGTGACTGGCTCCTTTTATAAAGCTTTGAAAGTTGGAGGCCATCATCACGTCTGAAGGTCACTTGCGGTCAAGAGGAAGCTGGTCGTGTGGAGAGCTTGGTTTCATTGCCCGGGCAAAATGCGCAGGAGTGGCATAGGCCTGTTGGTCACAAAGGAGGGGGCAGGAGGTGCCCGCATCCACGCCCTCTGCACCCCAGTTTCTGAGAAGCCACTGGGGGCCACTTTGTCTGGCCTCTTGCCTGAGCAGGAGCAGGTGCCCAGGGCAGGCGAGCTGCGCAAAAGGACCTTTTTGTCCACAGTGTGTCACGTGCTCAGACATCAGGGGCACATATCTGCTGACTTAATAATGCCTCAGCCCAGGTCTTTCATCCGCATTCAAGGATCCTAACATACAAGGGTGTCCTTGGGTTCCTTTTTCTGAGCTGTGGCGGCGGCTGTTCCTGTGTAAAGCAGGAGAGGGGCTTCCTGCCACCGGCTGGGCCTTTTTGTGTGCATCTTCTTAGGCGGTCCCCCGTCCACCCTCAGGCGGCGGTGCCGCCTCTGACCAGGGACAGGGCGGCTGGTTTCTCAGCATTCCCAGAGGAGCCGCCAAGAGGCTAGGCCTTTCATAGATCAACTCCAGAATTCAAACGTCCCCCAGGCCCCTTCCAGCCCTCTGTCCCCAGAAATAGGACAGGCCGCTAACCTTGCACCCTTGTGCACTGGAGACGTTTCTTCCTAATGGGCTCCTGGAGAGATGGCCTGGAAGCAGAGGGACCATCCCCTGGGCTCTGGCAAGGATCCTCCAACACGGGCAGTGAGTAGCTGCCTCCTTGTTGAAAGGAAGGCCCAGAAGGCCGGAATCTCAAATCCACGGTCAGCAAAAGCAGCAGGCAGAGCACAGTTCGCCCCGATTCATTCCTCATGTCCACCGTGCTGGAAGCGGGAGGCTAAGAGGAGACCCGCTTGCCTTTGTGAGCAGCACTGAGCCAAAGCATTCCCCTCCCAGGACCCCGTTTAAAAAAGAAAAGAAAAGTCACTTTCAGCCCCCTTTCGTTTTGCCCAAGGAAGTACCGCACCCGTTCCCTCTCTCTAACTATCCTGGCCCCTCCGAGAGCTTTGCAATCTTCTCCTTGGTCTGCTCCTAGCAGACCTTCACAGTGCCCTCCCAGGGGGCAGGGGCTTTCCGGAGCTGATGAAAAATGGAACCAAGAAACCGACTAGCCCTTCCCTCTAGACAAGCAACTACTTGCACACCTGTGCCACCATCTGCCCCAGGTTGAAAGCTGAGCCAGGGCGCCTTCCCCTCCCTCCATGCACCTGGCACTCCACGGGGCAGATTTCTCCCTGCTCCCCCAATTCCACCTCTCTTCCACCTCTGTTGCTGCGGGGACATGTTGTGGACTATGGGAACTGAGGACTGAGGAGGGTTAACATTAGCTTTGGAAAGCCGGGGCGGTGATTACTGGGCAGGGTCAGCCGCTCGACTGACCAGCAGTATGTCTGGGAGAGAAGGCGGTGCCCGCGCAGAAGGACCCTTTGTTAGGCAGAAGAAGAGCTCCCGAGGGGCTGGCAGGGGGACCCCCCTGTGGGCGCTGCAGCTTCTGTGGCCCTGCTGCCCTGCGGAGGTTGTGGGGTGTGTGTGTGTGTGTGCACGTGCACCTGTTCATGTCTGGGAACCTCTCTCACCACTGCTTTTGCCGTGTCTCTCTCTCTCTCTCTCTCTCTCTCTCTCTCTGTCTTCACAGACTTTTCAGTAGTTTAGGAG